GAGTTTTGTCCATAGTGTAAAGATCGCCTGCTTCGTAGAAATTCCACCTAAGTGACTGTAAGACACTGTGGTCACCAATTTTGTGTTTATTTCGCTTAAGGAATCTATCCTGCTGTACTGGAAGTAATCAAATAGATCTGAGCTCTAGCCACAACTGCTCTGATATTCACCTAAGGGCTCAGGCACACACAACTACCACATCCAATACAATAAGATCTCAAGAGTCTTTCGAGTTGAACATAAAATTCGCGACCACAGTGTCTTACAGTCACTTAGGTGGAATTTCTATGAAGCAGGCGATCTTTACATTTTGGGCAAAAGTCATGAGAACGTGATTTTGTAGGCCCCTAACTAGGCGATTGCTACAGATTGAAGCCCGATGCATGCACCGTTAAATAGCACGCTTTCTAGTGAATTCAACCTGCAGAGGCAAGAAGCACATTTTTTAAGAGGTGCTCGAAAAATGCAGGCGAATCTATGAACTTGCGTGGCTTAGCTAAAGTTCCTTCACCATATCTCTGCTAGAAAACGCGAACTTTATAGACTGGAGCATGCACCTTTTGGTGGCACAGTTCCTAGTGATTTTGACTTAGAAAAGCAAGCATGTAAGTTTTCTGACAAAGTCGCGAAAAGTGCAGGCAAATTTACGAACTTTCATGGCTCAGTTACAGTCACCTCACAATATCTTTACAAAAAGACCCTGTCTTCTTCAAAGACCACTATTTTCGTAAACAGCGTGTTCGAAGACCTCTTTGGGCCAAGTTTCTTTACAATCCAAGGTCATCGACATTTTGACCAAAACCCATCGGTGAGCTTAAAGGCAGTCGATAGGCAGAATGGACTCTTCCCAAATTTTGGTGGATTAAGGTAGCAGACCCCCAAGAGTACTGTAGCCCAAACCTCTGCTGCCAATTCATGCGCTACGTCCTGAAAAAAGCGCTTCAAAACCCCACCAGCCCCGCCCATTTCCATTGACTGGGCGGGGCTGGTGGAGTTTTGAAGCACTTTTTTCAGGACTTAGCGCATGAATTGGCAGCTAAGGTTTGGGCTACAGTGCACTTGGGGGTCTGTTACCCAAATCCACCAAAATTCGAGAAGGGTCCATTCTGCCTATCCATTGCCTTTGAGGGCGTAGAACGAGAAAAAATCAAACCACCCGAATTTTTTTGAAAACTTGCTCACAGAGGTTATCTGACCTGCTGATTACGAAAATCATATCTGCTTAGCAGTAGAGCATCTCATTTTAGGGTCACGGTGAGCAAAATTTGAGACAACACGATTTCTCCAGAATTTACCAGCTCCTCTATCTTATTTCAAAAAGATTCTTTTTACCACTCGATAATCTGCGAAAGCAGCACAATCCAACTGTGCTTACTGGACTCTTTTGTGTTTGATGTGCGCTGCGTTGCGACCTTGTAAATATACGCGCGCAGAAAATTTTGAAAAAATTGGAAACGGAATTTCAAGGGCGAGCTGTACATAGTAAGATTCCATTTGACAAGAGAACACAATGCTGCTTTCGAATTTCGAAAATGTTCATTCTGAAGGAAGTTACGGCTAGTAGAACTTGGAACCTTGATTTTTCCAGAGTTTATCAGCTCTTCTATCTCTTTTGAAAGAGAGTCTTCGGCTGCTGTTTAGCGCACGATAATCTAGTGAAAGAGTACTATCGAACGGTGCCCACGGAGTCTCCTATGTGTGATGCTCGTTGCGTTACCACCATGCGAATAGGCGTCCGCGTGCAAATTCGAGATTATTGAAAACAAGGTATTGGACACAGCCTTATACCAGAAGATTCGCCTTGACGAGCTGAATACAATGCAGTTTTCGGATTTCGAATATACTCATTCGGAAAGAAGTTATGGCCCTGCGTAATTTGCGTGATTCACATGAATTTCGCGAAATTTCCGAGATTTCGCGAACCTTCAGTTCTGCGGCATCCACGGAAATTTTGTACATTCTGTGAGCGGTATTGTATGTGTAAAATTTGGACTTTTCATTGCTCATACATTTTTAAAAAGAGTTAAGTTGTTTTCAGTCGTTCAAAAGTACTTACTTGTGTGTTCGGTAAATGTGGTATTCTTTGAAAGCAGTACACTCAATACTATGCTAGTCATGCACTCCCAAGTTGGGTTTTAAGGCACATTATGTATTAAAACCTTAATGACTTTGCATTTCGAATCGCTCATAATTTTTCACAGAGGACGGCCTCGCAGATATGAAAAGTAGATTTGGAGTCAGACGCATCTAATATTAGCGGTTTATTCCGATTCGCCACTTTGAGTTCGAATCCTCTACTTGTAAGGTTCACATGAGTGTTATTTTATGCTGGCGAATGAAATCCAACATTTTGAATGTTACTATTTACTGCAAGATTTGTTTCGCAAGAAAGCTCAAGAACGCTGCTCACAGCGACATACCAGTTTCGCTTCATCAATGTCCTGTTCATCAAATGCGCAAAGATAAATGTAATTAATTTATTATTTTTGAAGAATTTGCATTGGATTTTTACGATATCATACAAACAATTCAGATTTGAACAACAAATCACGCTATGTGATATTAGAGCATAACAATATGCTAATCAGTGCAGAAAAGACAACAGCAGAATTTGCGTTACTTTTTTGGCACTCGTCACCAATTTTCTTAGCGACAGTTCTTTCCGGAGCACAGTGCTGCTCACCACAAATCTCTGCGCAACTGGGGCAGATTATGCGAGTTGATACTGTTCCGACACCATGTAACCTCTGCAAGATTAGTAGCTAAACTGGTTAACTTTTATAATACAGGGTGTCCGTAAAGTATGTATGCACTGTTTGATCGTTAATATCTCCGTTCCCAGAGGGTCTTTTGCCGAGCTTTAAGCACCATACTGTAGAGCTGGCTTCAACTTAGATTTGCAGTATAGAGCGAATCAGCGATCACTCACTGTTACTGTAGGATTACGGTAGAAACTTGAACCATATGGTGTCAATGTGGAAAAAGCTGTCGTTTCAAAATTTTTCAAAAAAATGTGAAAACTTGTGTAATAGGGTTTTTATGGACGCTGAGTTCAATACTCAACTATTCACAAGATTGCGAAGCTTTCTAAACGGTGTAAACGCACTTTTTAGGAACATTGAAAAAATGGCCGCTACCTCTTACCTGGCATAACTCTTCAATGAAGCATCATAATAAGTTGGGAACTTCACAATTAGAATCAGCAACTCTAATTAGCCTAGTGTAAAAGTTTTCAGGCTGTTTTGTTTCCTTTCTGAGGCAAGATATGGCCTTTCATGGCTCAAAACCCTCTTTGAAGTTCCTACCGATCCTACAGTAATGAGAGGAGACCGGCGATTCGCTCCATACCGTAAATCTAAGTTGAAGCCAGCTCTACAGTATGGTGCTTAAAGCTCGGCAAAAGACCCTCTGGGAACGGAGATATTAACGATCAAACAGTGCATACATACTTTACGGACACCCTGTAGTTATGCAGGGATGTATTCAGATTTTCTACTTTTAATCTGTTTTTAGAGGTGCAATGGTTGCAACCTAGAAGTTTTCACATGAAGATTTCAAAATAACTTCAACTACAGCGCGTACATAAAGGCAATGGAGCAGAAATAATCAACACACCTTTTTGACATGGATTAGTTGCCCCTGTCTATAACATGGGTAGAACTTAGATTTTTGAGTCTTGATGAACAGCAAGTTCTTGTCGCACAGTGTCTGAATAATGTCGAAATATTAAGCATATCGTAATGATGTTATGCAGATGAGCACGTCTGGGGCTCCATCGCTGTCTGCTCAAGCAAAGAAAAACAATGAGCTTCAGAGATGAGAAGCCAAATAGTGGCGCATTATGCCTTTCTACCGTGCTTGTTTCTCACTTCAAAATTTCTCTACTTACTATAAATTCATATTTGTAAAAGTGCATATTTGCACATTTAGGGTAAATTATAGATGGTCGAAAAGCAACAAATGCTGCTGGTCTTAAATCAGTTCGACGAACTCTGTTCGAAAAAATTATGCTTGTTTCGGCGTTAGTTTAGGCCAAATTTGGGTGGCGATATTCCGGAATTCAACGAGACGCAAAACGTGAAAAATTAACGGAATTTTTCACGTTTTGCGTCTCGCGAATACAGTAGGTCCATCTCCTCACACTCTTTGATTTTTATGATCTACGACCGACCAAAATAGAAAGTGAAGCTTCATGTACAACAGGTTAAATGGTATGGGGTGAGCGTGTTCACTACACACAAAAGGTGAAAGATCCCAATACTTGGGTCAGCTGCGACTTTTTGTACTTTATTCAAAAACAGTTTTTTCTCCAAAAAGAGCCCTTTGTGATTGCGAGTGCAGAATTGATGTTAGCATGTGATATTTAAGCCGGTCGATATTATCTCGTTCCAGATGGCCATTTTGACGGGTAGGACTGTTACTATCTTCGTTAGCTCCTACTCCTTTAGAGAACGACCATGGGTTGCCGAGGTTGCCGGCGTTGCTGAGGTTGCTGGATTTGCCGGCGTTGCCGAGGTCGCTTGGTTCTCAAGAAATACTGAATTATTTAGAGGCTGAAATTGGGAAAAAACTCATGAGACAACCTGATGAAAGGAATCGGAAATTTGCCTCGGAAGTAGACTAAGCATCCGCGTTTCAGCCGTAAGCATGCAAATTTGATTATTTCGGTACTTGCGGAAAAGGACTAGGCAGCACACATTTTTGCACTTTGCAAATAAACTGTTGTTTAATAAATCTAATTATTACTATTACTACTTTCACGACTGAACACAGAATTTGCAATAGCTAGTTATGCATGTCTTGGCACACAGCAACTTGCGGCAGTATCAATTCACTAAAGAAAAAGTGGTTTGAAGTTACATGTAATTATTGGAAGGTGTTAAAATCTAGGAATACATACATACCCATATACCTAATACCAATCACTCATACGTTGAGGAGTATGGTAATGGTTTGCTAACCTCGTAGCAACCTGCTGCGTGTGTCCAAGTTGTAGATCCATATGTATTTCTAACGTTGATACCGCCATCTAACTCGATACAACGAGCCGTTGGCGAAAACACCTAAGAAAACTTTCAGTAGTATGAACAGAAAATTTATCCCAACCTCGAGAGAGTAGTTGATGTAGTTCATGTTGAGCGGAAGGGTGCATCGTGTATCAGAGTCTTCTTTTGAAATGTCATTGTACACCTTGAAAAGTCATAAGTTGCTTCTCCCGTACACACACCCTCTTCAACTAATTATGAACTGTAAACAAGTGGTTTTGTGTTCGCTTTCATCTGAATGTTATCAATCGGAGTAAGTTTTTTTTCCTTCAGAATCATGTAAAGCGTTTGAGCATGTAGCAGAAACTGAGAGGTTGAAAACGTTAAAATCGCTGTATTTTGTAGAAAACAGCAGACTAACAACAAAAGTATACCATAAAAACCTGCTGGAATGATAGAGCTTCAGTAAATAGGTCTTCTATTCTCTACTTTCATGTGTGAAAATTTAAAAATAACGCTTTTCAGTTTGACAGGAAACTTTGAATTCTTTTGTCATACTTTCCACAAATATACGTAATAGTCATTTTCTTTTTCATAGAGTAAAACCTCTGTTGATGAAACCGTTCACGCGCCTTTCGCCGCTCGCCATTTCTTCCCCGTGTTGAAATTGTCAGTCTCAAACATTAGTTGCTCATTTATATGATCATCAAGCTCGAGCTAGTGCAAGGGACATTCTAGACTTTTAATTGTATCTGTATTTCATGATTTTTAAGCGAACGAAGAACTTGGCCAAGTAAAACAACAACCTTGGCATTAGCAAAAAATCTACAAAATAGTTGCTCTGATGCAAACACTGATGATTGCTTGTTATTTTGTTTCACTAACCCTGTAATATGGGCAAAAATCTGCCAGTTCTATAGATCCATATCCGTGCACTGGATTTCCTTTCGCATCTACGTATAAGTTGTTTGCATTGTAATTGAATTTGCTTTCTACGTTTTTCTTCTTAGTGTCCAAGTTACAACGCACTTTTGCTTTTCGAGTATCAGTACATCTGAAACTAAACTAATTCGATTCCAAAGTTATTTTTTGTTGCTTACCTCATGTCTCCGTATACTCTGCAAAATGGATATGGATCTTTGGAATGTGTTTTGATCCAAGTCATGCAGCTTTGTTTTGCAAAGCTGCATCCCAATCCCTTTCCGAAAGTCATGTTTTCGGCTTTTCCAAAACTGCTTTATCATTTCTTTGCACATGGCAGTAAAAAAGTACAGCAACGTACTCGTAATTTACTTTATACCATCCTGAATCTTCGAAAAGTGCCAAAGTGATACGACTGATCGCGAAAACTTGTGTTGTTACACCCGTCATTGCTTCATTCTGCAAAGAAGTTTTCATACAAAATTCAAAAAAATGTTTCAGTTTAATATTAGGATAACATTATACAAGTTGTATAAGGCATATATAGACTTGCTGTCATTTTCTCATTATGAAATTATTAAAGGCAACAAAACTTATTTAGTAAGGATATAGTAATCCGCGTTTGTAAATTTGCTGAGCAATCTGGTTGCGGTAATGTCAATTTGAGCAGTTCACGCGGATAAATTATTTTGACATCCTAGACGCTTTTTGCCGACAATACAGGGAGATAAAGAAATGCTCTGGCAAACATTTTTGAGTATTTTCCAATTTTTTAGAACCTGTCATTGCAGTGACAGGTTCTTATATGTAGGAACACCCTATTTAAGCTTGATGTTTCAGCTTGAATCTTCTTCAGCTTGAAAGTGAACATACTAATCTATAAACTATACTAATCTATAAACTATCAAAATCATCAGGCACTTCCTTTCAAGCGTATTTGTCATTGTAAGCAGATAGTCGGCAACTTATCAATATTCACAAAGAAGAGCGTGAAAACGATTTGCTCATTCTAGACTGCAAATGAGCGTTACAGATTAGCGGGACACGCTTGCCAAGCAGTTGAATCAAATGGTAACTTACATGTGCAGTCTATATGAAGGAAAATTTGGTAATTCGATGATAAACAGATAATTACCTTTATACTGCAAGGATTTGCGCGCGCAGAATGGCACCATTCAGCTGTTTTCTTACGAGCAAAAATACCGCAGCTTTCTCCTTATGACCAAGCTTTATCGCATCTGACCATCAAAGGGGTATACTATGTCAATCGACAAAGCTACCTAATGCATCTACACTAACTGCAAGTGACGCTATCAGGAAGCTGCTCTTCAAACTATCTAACCTTACCTCTAAAACTCTTTTCTCCCAATGAGAACCTGCTGTCCCACTGGAACCTTGGCTTTCTACTTCAGCTCCTTCCAAACTCGAACAATTGAAATAGTTTTGAGCTTCTCTTTTTACATTAGGTGTGACAATCATAAGAACTTTGTGTGAACCCTACAATTCAAGATCTTGATGGAAATTTTTACAGTCTGGCAGTTTTTCTATTGTATACTTGCGGTATCAAGAAAACGCGGTATTTGCAATTGAACGAATAGCTGCGCCCGTAATGCCGGCCACTTGCGCATGAAGAACGCAAATGCCTACATTACTGGTGCAGCTATTTGTTCACGCACAAATTCTACTGCAATATTGCGTGGAAAATTTGATGGGTTATTCTTAAGAATGAATGATTTCAGTTTGAGGTCTGCGACTCAACATTTGAGTCTAAAGTGTATGCGAGCTTCAAACATTGAGTCTAAAGTTATGCGAGCTTCAAACATCTTACAAGGGAACGATACTTAGTGTCCGTGGCCTTTTGAGATGAAATGTATTTCAGTACACTCGCTTCGAACGCTGATTCCAAATCTGGTTTCCGTTTCTGCTGAACGTTTCTCTGAAAGAAGTTATGAAGGATTTTCGCGCCAAATTTGGCCGCGCGAGGCACATACGATAGGAACACCAACATGGTAACACGTTAACATGCATTCATTTTCCGTTCATTTTCATTTTTATAGGCACCTTTTGGAATAAATATAGGAAACCCTCGTATAAAAAGGAATCCTCGTTAGATTTTCAACGAGTAAGTACATGCATTTACCTCGAGGAAATCTAATTCTCGAAAAAAAGCTTGATGGCTTCCAAAAAGAAGCTTAATTGAGGTAATGCAAAACTGAAAAATAAAAAAAATCTGAACCTACATCTGCATCAGCTTGTGAGGCTAACGCACTAACCACTCACAACTATCGGCGGTATTGGTGTTCCTATCATATCTCTGGAGGCCAGAATTGGCGCGAAAATCCTTCATAATTTCTTTCAGAGAAATGTTCAGCAGAAACGGCAACCGGATTTGGAATCAGCGCTCGAAGGCGAGTGTATTGGTATACATTTCATCTCAAAAGGCCACGAACACTAAGTATCGTTCCCTTGTTAGACATTTGTACACTAATATTGCAAATCTGCTGAAATCTGTGACTTACATTTGCACTTTAGCGAGATCTTTGTGGTTAAGTTTGCGTAGAAAAAAATAAGGAAGGTTGTGATAGGAATAACTATGGGTTCAAAAACTTTTGTAATTCAACAACCGATCTTCGCCAATTGGGTACGCCTTGACAATTTTTGATCTTTAGCATTTTTAAATTTGAAGAGGGGGGGGGGGGCAGAAACGAAATGCGAATTCATGATGACCGCTTCTTAATTTTAGCACAGCCTTTGTAATGAAAGTCGTTCTTTCAACTTACAGAAAGACTTTTGGCAGACAAGTTGAATGCAACAGAATTATTTTAAACTTACTTTGCCTTTTGCGCTCTCCCAATCCAAGCGCTCTACTTCTTCAACTACAAATGATTTATGTGCCGCATTTTTTGCTCTGAAATAATGATCTGATGGCATTAAGATACACTTGAGAGCCATTGCGGACACGCACCCTCTAAATGGGACGCGAAATCGTTGATAAAGGGAGTTGGAGAATACAAAAGCATGTATGAGTTCGTGTTTGATTGTAGCTTCCCACTGGTCCAATTCATTGGCCTTCATTTTAGTAAAAGATTGTGGGCAAATGTTCACAGATCCTGCTACAGGCCTAAAGCACCAGAATATTGACTAAAATAGACATTTTTTCATAAAATATGGGATGAGCCAAAGTTTAAAAGTTGGAAGCAAAAGGGCTCATACAAAACCACGTCACAGAAATTATGATGGTGATGGTCATGATGCTGGTCGAAGCGAAAGCTTAAGCGACTAAGCTAAAGCTTTTTTCATACAAAGATATACTTGTGAACACAACTCAAGCCCTTACAAGTCGATTAAAAAAGCTAATTGGTGGATCACTTGCATTAAATACACATTCTGAATTTTTCAGCGAGGAAAAAGAGAAAGAATGCATTGCGGATGAGAGAACTTGCATCTTCGGAATCAAACAGATCTCTCATCGCAGTTCCACAACTTGAATGGTCTTCCTATTTTCACTCCTTAAGCTACCCAACATATCTTAGGCAGCAGATAGCGATAGCATGACGTCATTCCTCCCCATACTTTGAATTTGTTAGGAACGCAGAAACTAAAATCAATTTGGTATGTACTTTTTCATGCGAGGATGTTAGCTGGAAAGGTAGAATATAAGCAAGGTTTTGGTTTTTCAGATCAAGATTCTTTGATGACTCCCACTAAGTCATACAATTTCTACCTTGAAATTCTCGCAGTTTCAAATGTGAAGCAGGTATGGCAAATGGAGTCGATATTTCTTTCGCAACAAAAATCTGAAGAAGATTGCACCTATTCTATGACAGGGAAGAATACTTGATGGAAATAACCATATGTTAGATGGCTGGGCAACCCTGATCTCAAGGCAAATCATCACTAGTTGCAAACTTTTCGTAAAAGAAAATCTGACCCTTCTTTACCCGGAAGAGCGCCTCCGAAGTTATAAGAAATTATGATGTTAAGAAATCGTGCGTGCAAAGAGCAAATTTGGCAATGCAACCTGCAACCATTTTTTGACTTGATGCTGGACTAGAAACAGCAGCTAAGTTATCTTATACAGACTACACTCAAAGATGAGCCATCAGGCAGTAATATGCCTAATTTCGCAATTTGTATATGCAAATTTTTTGCAATGATACTGCTCAGAAGACTGCTGCTCATAAAAAACGTTCAGCAGATAGGGAACAAGTTTGAAGCCAGCTTCTATACTGCATTTAATGCTGTGTAGCTTGTTTGGATTGGCAGGACTTCTCACCATCGCCTTTTGAGCCTCAGCTTCTGTTGCTGACAATTTTGCGTTTCTCTCAGCATACGCTTTTGCTTCAAAAAGTTCATATGACATTTGATGAGCATTGTTGCATAGCGTTGTTTTATACAGGGTGTCCCAAAAATGTGCCTACTGTTTGTTTGTATATAACACTCTTATCACTCTTATGAAGTCTTTCTAAAAACTTTAGGTATCAGTTTGTAGAACTGGTTTCAACTTAGAGATCTACCAATATGGAGTAAACCAAAATTCCATCTTGATTACTGTAGAAGTCAGGTAGGAACTTGCAACTTGCATAATGGCGTCACTGTGAGGAAGGCTGTTTAGAAAAGAAAGTTCTTAAAAAATCCGAAAGAATATGTAACAAGGTTTTTTTTTCATGCATGCTGACTTCAATACACAAATTTTTGAGCGTTCGTAGAGCTTTTCGAATGGCTTTATCGAAATTTTGATGAATAGCAGGAATTGCTTGCTGTGGTACATCTGGCTTGACCTGTGGAAAAAGCTTTACGGTGAAAAACGAGTTTCACATTGGAATCAGCGATTTTGACTAATTTTCAGCTTTTTTGGATCTTTTTCAGGGGTAAAATATGAGCCTTAATGTAGCAAACAGTAGTCACATTTTTTGGTAAACCCTTTAAACTCCATTTGCCAGTTACAGGCAAAATGATATGCCAAAATTAATTGCAATTCGATATGACTTCCCGAAGCAGAAAGCCTATGTTTGAGAGACTTCAAGTATGTTTTAGGAATCGAACCGATTCTATTGTTTGTAAGACAGAACCACTCATCACTGTAGCATTTAGCCAGAGTGCCTTGCCGCGCCATTGTTTTAGAGAGAGTCATTTTCAAAAATGGCTTATGACTGATCTGACAGAAATGCTTTGCAAATACAGGTAGATTTGAGAATTGCATTTCAAAAGCTGAGTATGCATATGCGTCTAATCTCACACGAGCACTTTGAACAAGTAATTTCTCCTAATGAGTAGAACTAATCAACTTTTTCCGCTCAACATGTTCTCCGCTTCGCGCTAAAGAGAATACTTATGGCTTTCAAACATTTGTTGCAGATAATCAGAGCAGTCTTAAAATTCCAAGTTTTATGAATACAAAATTGATCTTCAAACAGTACATCGATAAAGTAATCTTTCTCTTTGGCTTTATCCAAACATACCTCTTAGTAGCCGCATCTAGAGCGCAATGTGAAGCAAAAGCCAAGGTATATTTTCCACAATCAGCTGTGCTTACAGACACAAAAAGCATGAAATCAACACCTCGCAGACGTCCTGTAAGGCGAATTTCTCAGATATTTGGACATTAACCCTTATGAACAGCTGTGGGGCCGTTCTACATTACGCAATTTGAGTGAGTAACTTTATGAACGATAGCATGTGCCAGCCGCTAGTCGGCTAACGTAAGCGATGCGTTGAACGCGCCGCCCCCTGATTACCTAGCGCGATAATGCCTTGCACCTATGGAAAGGCTCTTACGTCAATCATGCTTGTATCATTGCTGCATTTCGGAAATACACAGTACTACAAAAACTTATAAAATTTTCAAAAAATTTCATCTTTCAAATTTTTTTCAATTTCAAGTAGTTCATCGCTCTTTTCTGATGTAAGTGTTTTTCTCCAGTATACCCATTGCATAAGAACGTCTGCAAAAATTTGTTTTGAACGCTAGAGCACATTTTTCTTTTGACATAATTAGACATGTCATATATACCGGATGTATGAGTCAAAAACTAGGAGATTTTGCTTAAAAATAAGTCATCTTATTGAATAAAAACAATTGTCACCGAGAATCTACCACAGAATTTCCTCTCTCCGGTTTATTGAACCATCATCATCGCTAAGCAAATTTTATTATAAGTTTTTGCAGTCTTCACGTTCAAAAAATTTAATGAAGAATCTTCGCAGGCACTAGTGGAAAACACAAAATTATAACGAAAACAATTTCGAGTAAATAGCTACCTTAAAGGCAGTGTCCCGGCAGGTTTTGCGTTTCCACCTTTCTGCAAATCTTAGGCCTTTCCGACTCGTAGAACCCGAATCTGAATCGGGTGAAAAGACCGTTTTGGGGAAATTTCCCTAGTTTCCAAAAAGCGACTCGGACGAGAGTTTCAACGGAAATTGGGGAGGTCCCGGTACGAACACCCTGCCGCCTGTAATTTTTACTTTGGAATAGTATGCACAATGCGGAGAGCGGTAATGGGGT